GCAAAGTCAAAGAATGAGGATTGACAAGGCATTGTATGTAACGGCAGATTGTTGTATAATATAGAAATATCAAGCATAAATAATCAACAAAAAAATCAAATCTATATGAAAAAAAAAATCAAAATTAAAAACACAAAAAATTATGTGGAACATTATTGGACACTATACAATATAGAAAGAAAAATAATTCGATTTCCCTATCATTATCAACACATTCAACTTTTACCAAGACATCTGCCTTTATATTAAAATCGATTTTTTGCGTAAAACTTTTAAAAATAAAATTCCTACATATTCTTTTAAACATTAAACAAGAAATTCCTAATATGCGATAAATATATGTAAACAGATTTGTTATAAACTTACCTAATAATTCAATTTTTGAACAAAATACTAAAAACTTTGAAAAACTTCGGCAAAAGACTTTGAACAACTTCGAAAAGCAATTTTGAACAAGTGTTAGCAAAGCTTCACTTACTGGTATGATGAGAAAGACGAGAAAGAATTGAACTATTTAATGTTCAAAATTTGAACAAAATACATAAAAGTTACATATGTATGTTATAAACATATATGAACATATATGTTATAAACTTACCTATACATTTGTTAGTAGAGCTAAACAGATCTGTTAGAAACTTACCTATTTTTCAAACCTTGAACAAAATACATAAAAGTTTAAAAATGTTCGACCAATGTCATGTTCTCTTCGAAAAACGATTTCGAAAAACATCTAGATAATTTTGAATTATGTATAAAATATGATATATCTTTGAAGCTTATTCAAAAAGAATTTCGAAAAACGACACAGATCATTGAAAATAATAATAAATTAAAACTATGTTTAACAAAAAATACTTCAGCTCTTCATAGATTTGTAATATTATCGCCCGATTTTGACCGACCTGTTAATATTTAGCAACACATATTAAGAAATCGGGACGAATATTTATTTTTCGATCACTACTGTTGGCTACAAAACAACATTTCTCGGATTTTTTTTTTATTTTTATTTTTAAGCCTTTACTGGGAGAAAATCTCCGGTAAAACATTTATTTTGTATTGAATCTCGCCGAGTTTGTCGTAAGATCGGGTTAAGGATTAGGGTTTCAGACAGAGTGAATAACGAAAGAAGCACCGACATCAAACAAAAAAATTGGCTTACATCACTCAAGGAGTTTATCTCTATTTATAGTCATGTTAGCATTGACATGTTTTACATTATTCAATCAATATATTTCTTTATGGCCCAACAATTACCATTTTGTTCAAATGTCTTACATATTTGGCACATATCTTTATTTATCAACCAAATATAATTATTTATTTTGTAATATTTTGCTGGTATTTTTATAGTATATTTTTTTTTTAAAAAATCTTATATGATCTATAGTACAAAATACGATAATTATTGAAAAAATAAAATCATTATATGTCTTAATTTGAAGATAGTGATTTGTAGTGATGAAGATTCTGTTGATAGAAAACCACAAACGTTGTATATAAAGAATTGTTTAACAATATTTAGTTATTCTTTTTTAAAACATTTTTCCAATGATGATATTATGATTTTTACTATTGTTTATATCTTTTTATTATTTTTTGTTCTATTATAATGTCTTCCGTGAAATTCACGGGTTAAACACTAGTAGTTATAAACCTCACAAACCTTTTTAGAGCAACTTTAACAGCATAAAGTTTATAAACCTATTTTTTACATTCTCAACATTCCACATCATCAAAATTGACAAACTTTCTCAACGTCCCTACCATTTATGTTTCCGTAATATGATATAATCATATATCAGACTAAAATTTAAGTTGGAATAAATATTCTTTTAAATTGATGAAAAAACATATATATTTACTATTTAGGGGAAATAAAAAAAAAAAAAAAATTAAACTCATTCCCTCTCATTTCCCACTTTTCATTTTACCATATTCTTCAAACTATTGACAATTAGCTCCATACAGACACAGTGGACCTGCGGTTATAAGGACAGTGAAAGAGTAACAAATATCAACATGACATTCATAGTCCCTAAAGATTGAAGGTTCTCTTCATAATTACAACAGAAAATTTATGCGGTTGAACAAAATTTTAGTCTCGAACGGTTCTAAAACCACACTCCCATACCTGTGTGCAAGGCAAATGTCCTTAAGATTTGAGAATAAGAGGATAATGAAATTAAAAAGCCAGTTCCTTTGTACAAAGGTTAAAAAAATATAACACAAGACGAGCCAATACACTTTCGAACTAGCAACTCAACTTGAAAAGTATGTCGAATTTCTAAAGCAAGAAAGCCCAGCTATAAGGGATAAGCTTTGGAACGCACATCACTGGTCAATTGAATAAGCAGACAATTTATACCATCACAAACGAACAGCAAGAGTACAAAAATCATTAAGTCGCCTAACAGCAAAACTCCCGGATAAGTAACAGTGCACCTCGTATTCTTTGATATTTGCTATATCAGTACCCTGCTCGTCAGAATCCTGTTATTCAAATGTGTAGTGCTCTCTAAAGAAGCAATGACCTGAGGCATTGACATCCCCACAGAAACAATAATCTCTGAAATAAAAAACCGGAAAAGGAGAAAAATCAGTAAAAAGCTGCAAAGGATTCAGCCGTGAGCAGGAAAAAAATAAAATAATAAATAGTAAACAAAAGCCAGAGGAAGTTTTAGCCTCTGATATTTCAAGTTGAATCCATACGAAAGGCAAAAACCAGGGCATTTTTTCATTAATCACTTTCTGATTAGCAATCAAAAGTTGTCTAGTCATTGAACTGTTTAGGACAAGACCTACCTATGCCTTCTCGAATGGATAGATTGGGTCGTATAATCTCTTTGGAGTTAACCAGAAAGACATCTCCAATGTACAAATGATTTGTAGGCACATAAACAGAGCATAATTCTTCATCCCCGTCATCTCTCTGAAATAAACAGAAGAAAGAAAAACATAAAAATCTAACCCTAAAAGATAAGAATGAAATAAAGGTTATCCAGCATTCATTATAGCTCCACCTGTCTCAAATCCAGTAATAAAACCTAGTTTGCCTACTAATTATAGGTCTAATGGATTACTAATTTTTGTCTTAAAGAGAAACATTCAGAAGCAACCTTTGTATAATTCCTAGAGTTTGGAGTATAAATTCAGAAAGAGATTCAAAACATATAGTTAAAGGGAAACCTGAAGAACTACTGAAGATGTAATAAACCCGAAAGCATATTCTCCAACACGAGGATGACGGATAATAGCGACCTCCTTGAAAGCAGTTGTATTCTGGTCTGGAGCATAATAAACAAAGTCAAATTTCAGATCCTCGAGCAAAGATAGATCCCATGCAATGCAATCATTCGTACAATACTGGTAGAATCTCGTATTGAAAGGAAACAACACCACATCACTCATACAAAAAACAACAGGTACTGTTATGATGCTATTCATTAAGCTACAATACATCTATAAACAACAAACTCGATTCAAAGCCCAACGCCACTTTAGTTTTTATGAGTAAACAACGAAAATATTCAATATGCCATCCTAATTTGTCTTTAGAAAAAAGAAAAATGGAACTGCAAACTTAAGTTTCACCAGTCGCCTATAGAAAAGAACTCATCATAAGCAATGATCAAACCTCTTTAAACAGCTAACTGAAATTTTCGTAATGTAATTGCCAAGGCAGCAGATGAGTGCCTTATTCAAAATTTCGTTGAATAATGCATTTGCACATAAGTAATAAAGACACTATAGGTCAAAAGTCACCTGGAGATATTGCAGAACTAATTTGCTTGGATGCTGAGTATATATGTTTCACAAACGGCATTCGCTTTATAAACCATTCCCCTATCAAGAAAACGGTAGAACCCAACCATGATGATGCGAATATACCAACAAAGAAAATAAAGAATATCGATGTGATGAATCCAAGGCCTGCACAAATATGAGGAGGTAATTAGACAAAAAAAAAAAAAACAAGGTTCAGAAAAATATTCACAACATTAAGTCGTTAACAATCATTATATCCACGAGTTTTCTTGAGTCTTAACAAAAATGGCAATGGATAAGAAATTAAACTGGAAAAATCATAAATACTCTAAGATGCAAACTATAACAGTTTAAATTTTGAAGAGCAGAAACACAATTGATAGTATACCAAGTAATCCTTCCAGTTCTGATAAGTGATAAGCACCAGAAGTACTATGGGTATTTCATAATAAATAAAAAACAACAAAGTAAGAAGTAAGACCGCGTGAACCCTTCTAGAAAAGTAACAAAGACTTACCAAATATGTCAATGCCAAGTCTTTCATATATCGGACTGAAGAAACCATCAACAAACTGAATAAACCACCATGTGATGAAAAAAGTAACAGCAACTGGGAAGAGTACCACACTGCATATTTAAGTTCATCAGTAAAAGTTTTATGGCAAAACCAAAAGATAGCAAACGCCAAACAGGTGTGAAGAATGCAAACCGAAATGGTTACCATCCAGTCATAAACTTCTTTGAAACCCAACTCTGAAGGACAGCATAGCAAGCCTGTTGCAGCACGCGAGTTAGATTCACAAGGCATTTTAACCTTGAATTTTGTGAAGGGTTCAGATAGAAAAACTCAGCTGAAAAAAATTAAAATAAAAATTATGTATATTCCACATGTCGATATGTTCTGGCTCCATTCTGGGGAAAAATATTTCAAGCTCACTTCAATCCCTAACAGGTTAGAAGTGATAAGTGATAACATGGAATTATCATTTATCTATCATTTGACTAAAGAAGCTCGATCCACCGTTGGAGAAGAACATGACTACGCACCAAGCTCCCTATGTGGTCGCCTGTGATTTTTTCTCACTCTGGCCCTGCCTAATCCCATTTATACTACCCTAGCTCAGTTTCGACCCTGCCTAGATATCAGGCCCCCATTATACCGCCCAGAGAGCATGTCTTTTGAACATCGGCTACAACAATGTCAACGTCATTAAACATAATCATTTTATTATCAACTTACGTGTATTAAACTTTGGCACAAACGAGATGACCTATGCAAGTCAATAGGAAGGAAATGTATGGACAACCTTAGTTCTTGAGGTCATCTGGTGCGAAAGAAACACATTTGCAGTTTCCTTACAGTTTCTAACTTCAAATGCAAGATCAAAATTTAGAAATTGGAAATTTCCACTGTTCTCTAACTGCTTCTGTGTCTTGCTTTTTATGTGTGTTATCATGAAATCATCTCTATTTAAGGCAGCTATCATTTCTGTACCATCTTTCTTTCCTAGATACCCCACACTTAACTAGCAGCTATCTTTGTCTTTGTGTTTCATGTGTTCAAGATAATTGATTTTGGAAATCATAGGAAAACAAAATTAAGCTGCTCCTGCTCAGAAATTATTTATCAGTCATATAGTTAGTGAAGTTCTTTCTTATACCCTTTCAGGCACAATAATCAATTTTTTTTTTTTTTTTTTTTTTTTTT